AAAGGGGGGCTGGGGGTTCAGCCCCGGTGGGCACTGGCAGTATGCACTGCACAGAGCTGCCTGCCGACATCATGGCAGCTCCCAGGAGCAGTGCAGGGCTAGGGCAGGCAGGGAGTCTGCCTTAGCCCTGCTGCCTATGAGCCCCCATGGTAAGCGGTGCCTGACTGGAGCCAGCACTCCACTCCCACACCCCAACCCTCTGGCCACCATCCACCCTGAAACTCTGTCCAAGGTGAGAACCCCTCCAACGCCCTAATTCCCTCCCAGACCCCTCACCCCTCTGCCCAAGGTCAGAACCCCCCCTCCCCCAGCACTGAGCCCTCTCCAGCACTCCAAATCCCTTGGCCCCAGTCTGGAGCCGCCTTTTACACCTTGAACTTCTCATTTCTGGCCTTACTCTGGAGCCATGAGGCGCTCGGAGTCTCCACCTACACCCCCCGGGGCTGTGTGTGGCCCCCAGACTGATTTTTGTTGTAAGTCAGTAGCCTCTGGTAGAAAGAAGTTTCCCCACCCTGGTGTACAGAGCAGCATTTCCAAGATCAAAGGCAGTTCTTGTTCCGGGTGCAGCGCGTGTGTCGTGATTGTAAAAGGGCTTGTTGTCTAGAATGGTGCTCGAAGAAACCCTGCTCCTTGGAAAGCCTTGAGATGCCGCCCCAGTGTGACTGGTTGATGTGACACTGTCGTGTGTGTTTCTTGCAGGTTGTTAGGAACAAGCCGGTGGCCAGGCAGGCTCCTGGCAAACGGAAATGCAACTGCCGGCAAGAGATGAGGACCACGCAGCTAGGCCCCGGGCGGTTCCAGATGACACAGGAAGTTGTCTGTGATGAGTGTCCCAATGTCAAGTGAGTGTGCCGTTTCTGCCTTGCACCGCGAGATAGCTGGCTCAGCACGCCTCGCGGTGCGTTACCCACACGACCTACCCAGTGGGCGGACTTCCTGGGAAAGAGCAGCGTGTTTGATTGGTCTCAGGCGGAAGGGGGTCCTCTTTCAGCCCCACTCTCGACCTGCCCATCCAGAGCAGTCATCCGGCACGGCTGTGCACGCAGCTAAAGTTAGACAGGAGTGCGGGTCCCCCGGGATAGGCTGCACGACTGTAGCTTAGCTCTTTGCTGCCTGTCCTGGTTGACCAGCGGACACCTTTCCCCCTCCCCCACTCTGGGCCGTGCGCAACAAATGATACAAGCAGCAGGAGAGAAGCAGCACTCAGGCTAGTCCAATCAAATGAGTGACGCCTGCCGGCTTGCTGAGCAGAGCACCCGGCCTTCTACTTGGTTTCTCTCTCTCCAGGCTGGTGAATGAGGAGCGAACACTGGAGGTAGAGATCGAGCCGGGCGTGAGGGATGGCATGGAGTACCCCTTCATCGGGGAAGGTAGGCAGCTCGCCCGCCCGCCCTACTGAACGGCCTGGGGACACGGGGAGATGCAGGCGGCATTACAGAGCCGTGGTGCTTGCGGTGGGGTATTGCTTTGTGCTTGTCTCTGTTAAGCAGTTGGTTTGTCTTGTGCATTCTCTGTCTAGAGACTGCACCCTCCAGTTACTGCTAGCAATGCCCTGCTTCCCCTTGCTTTTGGATTAGACATCTGGCCACAGGCGGGGAAAGCATTCCTATCAGCAGTAGGGATGTTAAAGACTAGTCGACTATCCGATAAGCGTTTGCTTATCAGATAGTCTTTTGACTAGTCGATATCCTGCCCCTTGCTGCCTCTATGGGGGAAGGGTTCTTTAAAGGCAGCTTTTCAAAGGGGCAGCTGCCATGGAACCTGGGGGGAAGTGCTGCACGGAACCCGGGATCAGCTGGGGAGTCCTCAGCTGACCCCAGGCTCCTAGCGGCGTGCAGCATATCATGGAGCCCAGGGTCAGTCCCCCACTGACCCCGGGGTTCTCCCTGGCTTTGAAATGCACAAGAGCCCCTGCTAGGGACTATCGTGCATTTCAAAGCAGGCACCCGCATACAGCCTGGAGTCCGTGGGACTTTCCGCTGGCCTGGGCTGTAGAGGAATCCCACATTCCTCCTTTGAAACGTCCAAGAGCCCCAGCAGGAGGAATGCGGACGTGCCTATCGACTAGTCGATGGAAATTCTATCGACTAGTCAGTTAACTGCATTTTAACATCCTTAATCAGAAGGTGGGCCTGCAGCATGTCTGCCACAACGCCCGGCTCTGTTTGAAGTGTGCGTGTAAATCCCCTGGCCCAAGTTTACAGTTTTTGAGCTTGAAACGTAACCGTGCAGAATAAAAATGCTGGACTGAACCATTTAAATAAAACAAGCGCCAGAACAGGCCCCTGACCTTGTCAAGCTGGTTTGAACTCCTCTATTTTCCTTAGTACTTTACGTTTAACACCGTACTGGACTGTCTTGGGGGCAGGGTTAAGTCTCTGCCGCTGATTGTGCACGTCCAGTTCCAAATGAGGAGTGCACTTGGCTGTTCAGTTCATCTCTCTTGCATTCGTAACGCTGACGTTTTAGAGCAGTATCATGATGCCCTGTCGCAGTAAGTCATTGGTTGGCTTTACCCATCCCTGTGAGCTGTAATGCTCCCAGCTTCTTAAGGTTCGCTGTGTAGAGTTTGGATAACAGCACAAATCCATATTGGCACAGTTCATAGCAGCTTTTCCTGCGCTCCTCCAGGTTTCTAGGTGTCCTCCTCTATCAGAGGCAGCAGCACGGCAGGGGGTGATGTGCAGGTGGCTCCACAGAAGCTGGTACGCACAGGGAGCTGGCTTAAAAGCTGGCTCCCTGTGGCTCTTGGGGAGCCATGCCCCCCTCATGTATAAATGTGACATTTTCAGCCGTTACACATTTACTTAAATAAATGCATTTTAACATCCCTGCCAAGGATGTGGCAAGAAGCTGCCGTATCTGTGTGTCAGTCTCCGCGCTAATTGCGTGCTCCCAAACCCTTGGTGCCTCGGACTAAGCAGTTGCATGCAGGCAGGGAGTCCTTTGAAAGAAGGGTGTGGATTTTGGGGGATAGAAGAGCACAAGACCATGCCCCCCCAGTGAGCTGAGTCTCTCTGATGTCAGACCAGCTGGCTGCTTGCTGATGAAGCATCAACTCTGTGTAACACACCATGGCTGGCTTCCTTCCCCAGGTGAGCCCCACGTGGACGGGGAGCCAGGTGACTTACGCTTCCGAATCAAAGTTCTCAAGTAAGTAACCAGCTTCTCTCCTGGCTCCGAGGAATGAAACTGACTAGTGGTTTGTGTGTTAGTTTTGCCCGCTCACCTGGCACCTTTGTCAGTTACCCACCCGCAGCATCCACGAGGCCAGGCTACGGCGGAGGCTGGAGTCAGGGCTGTGTGATGAAGGGTCTTGGGATACCCTGAGATAGTGGCCTGACAGTCAAAGGATGCTCCCTTTTTGCTTTGTTTGGCCCAAAACCTATGTTTGAACGGTAGCCGCTGGATGAACACCATGGTGCGTTGACACCGCTCTCCAGAGTGGAAAGCCCTTAGCAATGCACGTCCCTCGAATGGGAAAAGGGAGCTGCTGGGTGAGTCACATGGGACGGTGTGACCGAGGTACCCCATGGTGCCCGTCAAAGGGCACAGACGTGCGGAGAGGGATCCTCACCTCTGTGATCACACGCCAGTCCATCGGCGCACGTTGTGGGAGTTCTCTAATGTCTGCCCACGTCACGCTCGTCATTCTGACCACTGATGCATGTAAATTAGACATACCGATATAGTCAAGGAAGTGGGGATTTAAATAGCCCCCGCTTCGTTAAAATAAAAATGGCCACCGCATTGTGCCGGCTCAGCTGATCGTCAGCGCAACGCAGCAGTCAAGACGCGGATCGGTCAGCAAGGAAAGCCTTTGCCGACCGATTCTGTAAACCTCGTTTCAGGAGGCATAAGGGATACGACTGCTATGTGGAGCAGTCTAATTTACATGCCTCTGCCAGCATGGGGCGTGCGAGGACTCAGTGGGGAGCACTCGTGCCGTGGCTGGCAGAGTCGGGGCTGGCCCCGGCAGGCACACACCAACTCTGTCCAGCTAAGAGCAGGCAGTAGTGAGGTGTCTCACGGCTCGGGTATGCCCGGCAAGTGTGTCCTCTCCACTCTCTCCAGCGCCCAAGGTAAGACTCTTAGTAACGTGCAGCCACAGGAAAAGGAAACTGAATCAGACTAACAAACATCTTCTCCATTCTTCTGGGATCTGTGTGACCTGCCCAAGCCCCTTCCTTAGGGAGGGAGGCGTATAACCTAGAGGTCCTGACTCACTGAATACTTGACTTTTCCGTCCTGCGGCCAAATGGAAATATTTTTTTTAATCCGTTCCTTTGGGGCGGTTCTGAGTTTTTCCTTTTTCTCCCCAACACGTACAATGGAAGCGCTTTGTTCTGATTGAAACGAAACATTTGGAGTGTCCAAATAAAACACGGTCTCCGAAAGGTTTTATCTTGGGTCTTTTTTGGCCAAAACAGTTGGTCAAAATCGGCCTGTTCGGTGCCGTGAAAGTGCACGTTGATGTGATTTCTGGTGTGCCAAGCCAGTTCTGCTCGGCTCTCGCCCTGACTCTCGCAGAAGTGGTGCAGGGAGAGGTCAGAGGTTCAGGTCCCTACGCTCTGTTCACAGGCACCCGGTCTTTGAAAGGAGAGGGGATGATTTGTATACGAACGTCACTATCTCGCTGGTCGAGGCTCTGGTAGGCTTTGAAATGGATATTGCCCATTTAGATGGGCACAAGGTGAGTCAAGAGTTTACTTCCATGTTCTTTACAAGCAAAACTATTTGTTACGAATTCCCTAGGTCCAGGGACTCTGCTGGTTGCAGCCGTTAGCCACGGACCGTGTTGTCTCAGCTAGAGATTTAAAAAGCCCCATTTTGACCTTCTGGAATCTGCTCCAGAAGCTACCAGTGAGGGCACAATCCATGATTAGCTTCCAGACTAGAGCAGATGTGCTGGTATACATTGCCCTAAGCTCTGTGTTAATGCCCTTCCGTGTCCCAGCAGCCAAGTCTGGTTTTGTGGAGGATTGAGCGTACCCCGAGCATAGCCAGAAAGGAGATCTAGGATAACAGGAAACGAACGCTGTTCTCAAATTTCCCTTCTTTGTAGGTTCATGTTGCCCGAGATAAAATCACAAAACCTGGGGCCAAACTGTGGAAAAAAGGAGACGGTCTTCCAAACTTCGACAACAACAACATCAAAGGCTCGCTGATCATTACTTTCGATGTGGACTTCCCCAAAGAGCAGCTGACCGACGAGCAGCGGGAAGGTTTGTGCTTCCGAAACCTACCCCCATCTCTCAACTTTCTGACCACTGATCGAGCTTAGCCTTGCAATGTAAGATACCCACCCGCAGGGATCAGGGAGGAGTTCTCTCCCCCGCCTGCGTACAGCGTAATACAACTGGCTAGATGCACGGTGGGCCGTGCCTTGTTTCCTCTGCAACATCTGGTCTCAGAAGCCTCAGAAGGCTTCCAGGTGAGATTAGATGGATCACTGGTCCGATATTTGTGGAGCTGCTGCTATGTCCGAGGGACAGACTGCGCCGTTGCTGGAGATGGGTTAACACTGGACCTAGTCCTGCTCTGGCTTCTCCCTAGCTAGAACAGTCTCTCAGACTTCCCCGAGTTTCCCAGCATCTGCACCCACTTCTCTTTGGAGCTGGGTTTTGCTCTGGGGCAAGGGTGGAAGCAGCCCTGCTGTGTCAGGGAATAGCTGCTCTCTCCCTGGCTCTCCGCCCCTGGAGCACAGAGATGCTCGGGAACATTAAGGAAAATCAGCTACAGCTGTGAAAGTCACCGAGCCCCATCCTTCCCCCTGCGTCTGGTGCACCAACACCGGAGAGGGGATCTGGGGGTCTTGATGGAGCCCTCATGGCCCCTCCTGCCTTCCTCTCTTTGAAGGCTCCTTAGCTGGGCGAGAGGATGCGTCCCGCCCACTGCAGGGTGGATCTGTGTTTGGCCGGAATAGTCCTGTTCGCCCGTGTTGGTCTAGTAAGGACAAAATTCCGTTTCTCGTTGGTGGCCCTGGCCCAAGCGTTGCTGCTGTTTGTAGCGATACGTGTGCCCGCTTGGGAGGCGCCTCCTGAGCTTGGGCTCCATTAGCGCAAATCCTGCTGGGCGGAATCTCGAAAGACGGGAAATTGAGCTACGTGTTCCGCTTCCCCGGTGTCCCTTGGCCCGGAGTCTCTGCCGCCCGCTGGCCAGAGCTGACGTTCCAGAGGGCCCCCGTGCGCGCGCCAGAGCGCGTTCCTTACAGCGCTTCTCGTTGAATCGGCTTTCTTGCGCCGGCGGAGCGTTGCTTCCTGAGCGGCGGGGATGTTCAGAGGGTAGCGGCACGCCCAGGGTTCAAAGTCTAAGCAAAGTGGCGTTCCTGCTGCTCTCCTGTCAGAACAGCTTTGTGCTCTTTCCGGCCTCTCCTGCTCCCACCGTGTCTTGCAGCATTCGGTGGAGAGGTGCCCTGTCTCTCGGTCCCTCCTTTATTACAGAGGCCCACTAAGTGGGAGACTGTGTTGAGACTGCCCAGAGCCTCAGTCACCCCATGCCAGCCAGTCAGCTCCCAGCCCTCGCTGTCGGACCCACAGGACGTCCGATCAGTCCATCGAAACGTAGCTTGGCTAGGCCTGGCGCCCCTGGCGGCGTGTGAAGTCTGGCACTTCGCTTCTAGCAATGCAGGAGGCCAGAGAACGTATCCAGGGTTCGGCTTTCTCCTGGGCCCCTAGGATCCTGGAGCAGTGTACTGGGTAGTATGTGCGGGAGAATCTTACGCCTCTCCTCTCGCTGCCGTTTCCCTCTCCCCCATCCCCGTTAGCTGAGGAGGTCCCGGCCCTGCCGTGTTTCAGCCTACCCAGAGCGGGGGAGGGCAGGTAAGAAGGCTTTGCTCTAACCACAGTCTCCCTAGCTCCAGCTCTCCTTGCAGGAGCGTAGGGGTAGCTGAGATGGAGTTAGGCTGTTGCCCTGTGAGTTAGCTGGCCTGCCAGCTCATCACACTGCACGGCTCCGAGCTGCCCGCGGGCCTGCAAGCGGTGACTATCCTTTTCTCGCCCAGGTCTGAGGCAGCTGCTGAAGCAAGGCTCTGTGCAGAAGGTGTACAACGGACTGCAGGGCTACTAACCCCCCTGCCTGGACTGGCTCGCAAAGGAACCCTGAACCCAGCCGTATCTCTCGGCCGGCTCCTCTTCCGCCCCTCGGGGAATGAGGCGGCGGGAGGGTGGAGCGACGACGGTCCAAGCGTGTTTGCGAAGGGTGAAGGTGTTCACGTGGTTTCCTGTTGCAGGGCGTAGCGGGTGCTGCCTATAGTTCCTGGGACTGGTGCAGGGAGCAAAGCCCCCGAGCAAACGAGTGGGGGCGTGGGGGTGTTCAACTCAGTGCAAATTGGAATGTCTGGTTTTTAAATATATTTTGATGTTACTTTTCTGGACCCTCTCAAAGCATTTTGCTCCTTGCTTTGTGTGTCTTGCTGTGATCTCCCCTGAGGTTTTCTCTCTGACACTCCGCCACCTCTTCTCTCCCCGGGCTGGGCCGCATTATAGCTCCCGACTCCTCTCACCTCCCTTTCTGTTGGGAGCCAAGAGGGAGAGGCTGTAAATCTGTGGGCTGGAGTTCGGGGGCGGACAGGTCCTCCCTGACCCCCTCGATGCCCAAACCAGTCTTTTGCCTGCAAAATTCAGGCTTCCAGCCAGGCCCGTGTCTTGTCCGAAGATCTCAGCTGTCCCCTGGCCCTTTCTGCACGTTGCAGGGCTCTAAAAACCCAGCCCCTTCCCTCCCGGGCCCAGGCGAGTGCTCGCTGAGGTATTCGCCCCACCCTGGCTTGGTTGGATCGCTATCCCCGGCAGAGAACCGCTGGCCCTGCGAGCACTGAACAAACCTCCCTGGTGTTCAATGGCACTTGACTGGCTCTGCGGCCAAGCAGCACTGGCTCCGAGAGCCCCAAGCAGCACTGGCTCTGAAGGAGGCTCTGTCCTAATGCAAATGGATGTGTCCTGCGAGCTGTGCAGCATCTGAACAGGGAGTGGGAGGGGGCCGTGCTGCTGGGCTGGGAGCAGGTCCCAGGCCCTGGCTGGTGGCCCCGGGAGGGACCATGGGGCTGGCCGGGGTGGCGTGCCATCAGCCGTGGTCGCAGACAAAGCCTTGGAGCGCATGCGGACGGAGAAGCCGGCTGCGGGGCACCTCGCTCCATGCAGGTAGGGACAGCCGGCTATTCCTTCCTTTCCCCTGCTCCGCTCTGGGCTCGTGGGACAGGGCCGGGCCGGAGCTGCAGAGCCGCCCGTACACGCGCTCCTGCTCCGTGGGCGTCTGGCGTGCCATCAGCCGTGGTCGCAGACAAAGCCTTGGAGCGCATGCGGACGGAGAAGCCGGCTGCGGGGCACCTCGCTCCATGCAGGTAGGGACAGCCGGCTATTCCTTCCTTTCCCCTGCTCCGCTCTGGGCTCGTGGGACAGGGCCGGGCCGGAGCTGCAGAGCCGCCCGTACACGCGCTCCTGCTCCGTGGGCGTCGGTGCTGCTTAACTCTGCCCGGAGACGCCAACGCCCCCGGCCCACTACACGCTGGAGCCCTGGGGGGGAGGGACTTTGGGGGCTTGGTGCTAGAGGCACAAGAGCGGGGGTGGGGGGGTTCAAGCTCAGTTTCCAGTAGACCCTGCGCGGTGCAAACCTCATGCCCTTGGGAAGAGCTCGGTGACTCTGCCCCGTGCGGCTCTTGGGGTGGATGCTTGCTCTGCCATCGGCTGCAGCTGGGCTCCTCCCCAGCTCCCTAGCTCCGCGGTGCTTCCTCGGGCTTCGCTCCAGTCTAGCGCGCAACGGAGTGACGGCAGGGGGGGCGAGGCAGAGACCCCTCCGCTGGCCGTGCCGCTAGGCCTCCGCGCTTCCCGGCAGGCACGTTCCCCGTGGTGCGCTGCTCCTGCTGCGCCTGGCCTCGCTGCGGGATGCTGCCCTGCCCCCCGCCGCCGCAGCACTAGGGCCCGGAGCCGGAAGCTGCTGGGCAGAAACGCAGCAGGAAGAGCAGACATCCGGGAAGCAGGAAGCCACAGCTCCTTGGCCGTTTCCTGTTCTGACGGGGAAAGGCCGGGTGTTCGGAGGCGGCGCGGGCAGAACCCACGCCGGGCTCTCCCCATCGCGCTCCCTTTCCAACCTCCGTGCTGAGCAGGGGCTGAGCCCAAATTGAGCCAGCCCAGTTGGCGGGTGTTGTCCTGAACTCCTGCCCCCCACCAGCCGCGGCGCAACTGAGAGGAGTGAATAAAACCCAGCCCCAAGCCGCCTGCACCCGGTTAAGAATTCACATCTGCCCGAGGGGCGCTCTAAGCCATCCCCGTTAAACCTTCCCACAAATGTACGGCCCTGTCTCATCTGTCCCGGTGCCCCCTGCCTTGGCCTGGCACCAGGCGGGGGCAGACAACATGGCAAACCTCATTGTGCCAGAAAGCTGCCCCTTTTCCGGGGGTGGGGAGGCGTGTGCGGACAATACACTTCCGGGCAGGAGGGAGAACGGGCGCGTTTTGCTCGGGCAAGGTGAGACACCCATTTTGGCAGCTCCAGGTTCCCACTCTCCTCCACGGATCCGCTTTCCGTGTGCGGTTCTGTCTGTGACACCCAGGCCTGTTGGTTCACTCGGAGGCTCGGAGCCGGCCTCTGAGGCCCCCTTGTGTTTGAAATCTTGTCCAGCGCGTTTCTGTTCCCTAAAGGAGTCTCGCCTCGCTCCTCCACAATCACACTAGCTGCGGGGTAGGACACCCACACCCCCCCCCCCTCCCCTTCCCGCCACGAA